TCCCGTCGGCCTGCGAGCCGTGCCCAGCAGCGAGGGCGCCCGACGCTGCCCTGTCCTCCCCGCCTGGTACCGAGAAGTGATGGCAAAGAGGAGGACAGGCCCCGAGGGCACCTGGACAGCCGTACCCCACCCCAGGGTGCGGCGGGGCGGCTCCTAGGGCCTGCCCGGTGCTGGGAAGCCCCGGATGCAGAGATGCCCCCTGGCAAAGCAGGAATAACTGGAGCAGCTGCTGCAGCGTCCCGTGGGCTCAGGGAGGGGGCACCGCGCACCCCTGGGCAGGGGCAGGTGACAAGCCGTGGTGCCGGCAGGGGAGAGCCCGGCCCAGCCGCCTGGCCAGAGCCAGTCGGCCCTCGTGACCTTTGTGGAGGAGGCGCGGTGCCGGCAAGGCGGAGGTGAAATCCGGTCCCGGCGCAAGGACCCCGAGCCAGGCAGGCTCCTGGCACCCCCGACTCCCAGGCACTGCCGGGGGCACGGCCCGTGCGCTCACCACAGGCACCGCTGTGCACCCGTGCCTGCACGCCCGGCTGGGGTGACCCCGTGCACACGCACGCACTCACGAGAGCGGGACGGGGGACACGCGCCCCTCGCTCCACAGTCCGACGTGTCCGTGGGCTTGTCGGTGCGTTTCACGGCAGACTCCAGGGCACCGCGCGACCCCAGGGCTGGGCTCGTCCCAGCTCCAGGAACGGCTCACGCTGGAGAATGGAGACAAACACGCCAGCTGGGCCAGGACCGAGCCGCTCCATTGTGTGGGTCAGGTTCAGAGCAGACAGCCGTTAGTGCCATAATCTTGATCCTCAGCTTTATTCAGGCCCTTCCTAGTTTCCTCCATTTGTTTCGCTCGGGCTCTTTCCGGGCAGCAGAGGCTTTGTTATGTCTGTGTCTGTTTGGAGAGCGATAATTCCCGCGGGCGCGGACAAAGACAATCCCGCAGGCCTAACCTGTCCTGACTCTCGCCACCATGACTGATCGCTTCGTTGCAGCCGTGCATATCCTGGAAAACTCCCTGGAGCCAAGCTGTGCCGCAGGAGGGTGCGTGGGAGACGCTGCTCCATCTGCACGGCAGCCCGTGGCAGGGCGGTGAGGAGCATGGGTCCGGCGGGCGGGGGAGTGGTGCCCGATGGCTCCATGCCCTCAAGCAGCAGAGACCGAAGCATGCCGCTCTGCCAGACCGCCTCCTTCGTGTGCGCCAGCTCCCGGTAGCCCACGAATCTCTGGTGCGTGGGTCAGGGGGGGTTGGGAGCCAAAGGGATCAACCAGTAAAATACAGCCCAAACTCGTCCTTGGTGCGGCTGTGCTGAAGGCAGCAGGGTGCCACCGGGGACGGCTCTGACCCCCTGTGTACTGAGAACCTGCTCCGGAGTGGGGCAGGTTACAGCAGTAGTGACCCAGACCTCGGTATGAGGATGTAGCCCTTGGGGAACGCAACGGCCACGGGCTTAGAGACAGACACGTTAGGCCCTTCTCCGCTGTCCGAACATGATCAGGAGCGCGGAGCAGCAGCATGCAGCATTGGATGTCCCTGTTCTTGACAGGCCATCCCTTCCTCTTCCCAGACGTGCCTAACAAGACCCGACACTGGAGAGCGGCGGGCTGTGCACGGAGATTGCCATCTGCATCGCACGACTGGCACAGATGCTGCCAGGACCAGCGGTCTTCGCCGCGACTGAACAACTCTCACGGAGGCCTCCTGCACCACCCACAAGAAGTGATGCATCTCCCATCCCTGCAGGTGCCCACAGAGTCGGATCAAGCTGCTTTCCTTCAGACCTGTCCGTGCACCCTAGAGCTGTGCTACGGGGACGTCTGATAAGATGAAGAGGCCCCTGCCACATGTTACATACATTGCAAAATTGACTCATTGACCATGCAATAAATATAGACTGGCCACACGTGCAAAGTAATGATCGTGCCATAAAAATGCCCATGCAGCTATAAAAAGAGCCAAGTAGCTACAGAGTTAGTGCTTGAACGTGTGGAATGACTTTGTAGCTGGTTTCTATCCTGCTTTCATTTGAATGTGTGGCAGGGCCGTGCAAGCTCTTGGAAAGGGCGTCCTTGCCAATGTGGGCCGAGCCCTTGTAACACTCCTCCGTGCCTGGCCTGACAGTTGCACATCTGCCTTGCTCCGTGGCATGCAGGTCTGTCCTGTGTTGTGCTTCGAACAGACGCAGGAGCGCAGGAGGCAGAGGCTTCCCGAGACGGGATCGGGCTGACTAACACCTGGGCCTGGGATCTAATAAAAAGAGAAGAGCTCTCCTTTCTCCTCTCTGGCTACGGCCATGCCTGGCTCACCTCCTCTCTCCCCCAACACGTGGTAGCAGATGAGCTGCACCAGCATTGATGCTATGCAGGGAGCGTGGCGTCCCCGCTCGTCTGCCACTCGCAGGACGTTCTTCCAGAGCGAGGCAATGCCTGCAGCTCTCTCACAGCCTCCGAGAGGGCCTTTCCCCTGCTGCCACCACAGCCAAGCCCCTGGCATGAACAGGAACCGTCTGGAGGCTCGTCCTTGCAGAAGAAAATAGAAGTGTGCTGCCCTGGTGCCCAGGAGGAGGCTGCGGGCCAGGCATCTCTGCATCCATCAGGTGCCAAGATGCCCCCAGGGACCGGTGACTTTTGGCTGGTCATTAACCCCCTCCAAGCTGCACCACAAAGAGCAAGCTGAGCCCAGGCTGCAGCTGGGCACCCTGCAAGAGACATGGGTGGGCGACTGCAAAGCTGCCGACTTCTATCCCCCACGGTGCCGAGGACGGGGCAGTGCTAGAAGGTCCCTGGAGCCCTGCAGCTTTCTGAGAGCCGGGGCATGGGGTGAGCCCTATGGGTGCAGACACAGCGGCGCCCGGGCCTCGAGTTCCCTTCCTCCCCCAGTCCCGAGACCTCCTGGGGTCTTCCCAGCTGTATCATATGTGCTGTGGTGGCTGCAGGGACCCTGGGGACTAGCCCTGGGCTGGCCCGCCTGGGCCAAGGATCACTGGGCGCTAGGCCATTTCACCCTCCGCTCCGCGAGCAGCCCTGGGCTGTGAGCCGGGGCAGGCGACAGGGATGCTGGGGGCTGTGGGGACGGAGGAGGACCCGTGTTCTGGGCTACACGCATCTTACCTCCCGCCGTGGGCTGTGAGCCTTGTTGCCCCTCTGCCCAGGACACGCGGGCCTGATGCCATGCTGCACGAGCTGCCGGGGGCTGCGGGGTGCTCAGCCTCAGGCGAGATCTGGCTGGAGCGTGGAAGGGCTTTGGGGCAGAAGGGGCTGGGCTCCCCGCCCGGCGGCCGTGTGAGAAGGGAGCCCATCTCCAGCCTCTGCCCCTGCATGGTGCTCCCCTTCCCAGTGCTCCCAGCCCAGTCCTTCCCGGAGGCAGCCTCGCAGGGTTCGAGCCAGCAGCGCTGAGCCAGGCCTGGCCCCGAGAGACCCCGGTCTGCTCCAGGGGTAACGCTGGGGCTTCCACCCACGTCTCTGCTGCACCCCAGCCTCTGCCTGCCCCAGCGTGCCCGCCCCCGCCCCCGCCTGCACCGCCCGCCTGGCAGCTCAGCCGGCGGCAGGGAGCCGAGCCTGCTGTGAGGACCAGCATGGGCCCCCCAAGCCCCAGCTGCTCCTGGGGCCTTACCCCTTTGCTTCTCCAATGCCCACGGCTCTGATGGCCTGGCTCTCTGCTCCCCTGGCACTCAGCCGGGAGCAGCGGTAGGGCTCATGCGCCCAGCTGTGAGCCAGAGCGAGGCCTCAGTTTGCTGACTGGGCTGCCTGGGGCCAGCACTTGCACACCCGCGGCCACAGCCCACCGTCTCCAACGCTCGCAGCTAATTAGCCATTGCTGCAAACACTCCTCGCATGGCAATCCTCTGCCAGAGATCAGCAGGGGCTGACGGTGGGGCCGGATTCACACGGGGGAGAACAGAGAGCCATTGGCGGGGTAACGCAGTGCTGGGCCGTGGGGACGCTGGCAAGGGAATGCTCTTCCCCTGCCCCTGGCATGTTTGCATCAGTGTTTTGCAGAGGCAGCCAGGTGAAGGCTAGCAGCTGCAATGGATGCACCTGGGCAGAGCTGCTTGCTCTGCTTAGCTCAGGTGTGGGCCATCAGGCCCTTCCTTGCAGGGAAGGAGGCACCTGGGAAGCCTCTTTTGCTCACTCCTTCCCCCTGCCTGTGCCGGCCTCGCAGGACCGTGGCTGCCCGGAGGCGCGCTGCGAGGTGCTGAGGGGCGAGCGTGGCGCGGCGCGGCGCGGGGCTGTGTATTCACATTCTCTGCCAGGCTCCCTCCTTATTAGCAGAGACTGGAAATGTAATGATGATAATTAAGCTAAATCATCCCCTTCCTAGGGAGCTTCACATTATTTATAACAACGTGGCGGCTTGAATCTTTTAACCAGTCCCTGCCCAGGTTGCAGCATGCCCTGCCCGTGAACAGTGGTTCACACGGGCACACGGGGGCTCGACAGTGACTCCAGCGAGTCCCTCGGGCACGGGCCGGATTGGCAGGAAACCGTGGCATGTCCGAGAGGCAATGTCTGTAGTCAAAGGGGCTGTTCCTGACAGACATGGGGCTGGAGCCGGGGGTTGCAGCACTGCAGGGGACAAGACGGCTGCACGCTGAGGCCACGGCCAGTCCCCGCGAGGCCTTGCAGCCTGCGTGTGCCCTGTGCTGTGGAGCTGGGTGGAAAGGGGCCGGGCATGCCTGGCACCTTGCGGGAGGTAGCACTGGAGGCCGAGTCCCAAGCAGACCATGTCGCCGGCTGTGACCGCTCCTCCGTGCCACTGGCCAGGGTTCACCTCAGCTCAGAGGGCAGGGGCTGCTCATGTGGGTTGAGCTGATGATGGAGCGGAGCCAGTGCAGAGCCACAGCTCGCATACGGAGGGAAATCCTTGCTGCGCACTGAGCAGAGACTCTGCCGGCAGAGATGGGGACGGAGCAGAAGTAGCATCTCCCCATCATACATACAGTGAGCCAGACTCTCCTGCTGTTCCCTGGAGAGCGCCGGGAGCCGCACGCCACATGCCCTTATGCAGACAGTGCAAGGAAAAGGAGGTGAGCAGCCCTCGGTGGTGAAAGAAC